GATCATTTGAGGTCAGTGATTCTCCAAGTACAGTAAGATTATACCAACATTTGCTGACCAGGCTGGGAGGACTTATGAAGCAAGTCTGCCACCTTGTGGAGTAACAGTAGAACAACGACACAAGTAGGGTGATGCAGTGTTAACGTCTTTGATGAAGCATGATCTGGATCAGGCCTGAAGAACAGACAAATCATTTAACAACCTCCAGATGTGATCAACTGTTGTTGACAGACAGATGCCACCCAAGAGATCAGAAGAGCCACTAAACCTGTTTTTCATCAAGATGCCGTCTGACTTCTGCCAAACAGGAATAACCCCATAAAACAGATACCTTTATTTCTCTCTAAAAATGTCTTTGGAATCTTTGGGATCTCTTCCAGAATTTAAAATAAAGGCTGGTAGGTTTCTTTGATCTGAACAATATGAATTTGTAAAGACTAAAACAGTGATGGGCCCAAAACAGTTTGAGATTTTGTGACAGTTACAGGATTTGCCAATGGGAAAAACATGGGCTTTGCATGGTAAAATATATTACCTATAATAGGTAATAGTAAATGCACAGTAAGTATACTAGAGCGGCATGGAGGAGTTGGCTTTTAGGCCATTAAATATGCTACTGAGGGAATAGACAAAAACAGTTGATGGTGAACTTGCTCTTTAATATAGAACTTTGAAGGATGGATATTTGTAAAAGTTAAGAAATAAGACATCTTAAATTGAACCTGGACATATACATATCATGTATTCCTGAATACATCTTGATTACAAGGTCCGAGTTTGACTGAAAACCATTCAGATTTCATGCAGAACAATGTAACAGCCTTATTTCATCCATGTGATGCAACATAATCTACTTGAGGACTGCATTTTAAACCTTGAGCTGATGTGCCAGTGTATCCTCACTGTATGTATAAACAATGCAGTGTTACACTTATTATGCAGTGTTATTCTTATCTTAGGGTGTGTTCACATGAGCAGTGGTTCACAAATATATAAGTAGAACTCACTGCTTAGTTTTTAAACTTTTATATGATGGAACAGTATATGAAAAGATACACCTGTAGTTATAAACTCAGGTTAAAAAAAAAAAACAAAAAACAAAAAACCCTTGTCCTCTGATAGTAGCTTCAGCTACTGGTCCATATTTGGGCTCAGCCACTGGAGACCTCTGCTTCCTTGTAAAAAAGCTCAGTTTGAATGGCCAGCCAATTAAAAACAGTAGCGTCAATATGAACAAACCGTAAATTATGAGACAAAACCGGTATAACTGTAATGCTTGAGAGGCTGCTTACTATTACCAAAACATATTCAACACAACAGAGACTGAAGCACCACATAAAATCAGCTCAAAGTGCCTCTGAATGACAGACTCAGAAACCAGACTGCATGTATGTGCCATAACTTATGAAACTCTAACCTGTGACTGATTATCTACTGATAATAGAGCTGGGAAGTCACATGATGCTGTTAAAGCAACACTGGCAGAACATTACACAGCCCATTGTCTCCATATCAATATCAAACAACTAAATGTGCTTTGGCAGGTACAACAAAAGGAGTCTTGACTCTACCTGCTGACTGTTAAAAAGACAGCCTTGACTGATGATGACTTCACTTTGTACTCAAGCTGCAAACTCATGACTGCTTGGTTATGCCTGAACTCATCTTACCTCAACTGCTAATGAACATGTTTCCTCCATTAAAACAGCAATAAAATACAAAGAAAAAGAATGTTTTAGTATAAGGCTGTCAAGAAATGGTATGTACAAGTTATTACAATTATACAAGTTGCACTTCTAACTTCTACGTATTTAAAGAATGTAGTCATATGACTATATTGCCCTGTAAAATGCATTCAATGGACTATAACACTTCATATGTAGTTGGTTGTGAAACATATATTCCCTCTGGATGGCATTTTAAAAAGAGCATGTGATTCACATTTGCACTCCTCCATTATACCCAGTACCTGTGCAAAGGACATATTTAGCCTCTTATTGTGACTGAAGCAAGAAAATTATTCTGTTATAGCAATTATTCCAAAATAATGGCCTTAAACCTGAGTGTTCAATATACTCATGCACACAAGTATTCGTAAGGTATCATTCTGGTTTAGGCCCATTGCCAACATCACAAAAGACAGCAACTGTACTCAAATCAGCATGTTCAGCAGTCTCCCATGTGCAGCTTTATGTCATTATACTCCAAGTCCAAACCTCTTACATGGTGAAATGCCTTAATATGCTAATTCAGTCTATAGGGGACAGTTTTATGCAGTGCATCTAAAGTCTGTAAGGCTACATACAGGGGAGGGGAATGCCACATTAATTCTATCAACCCTATATGAAAAGTGATACTTTTCAGTTGTTGATGCAGGAAAGAGAAAAATATGTATAGAGTTGACACAGATGACAGGTGGTTAAGTACAGTATACTGAAAGTGTGTGAAAGTCACATTGTCTTTCTACCGTAAACCAAAGCTGGCAGTCATCCAATAGTCAAATTATACCGGTAGCAACCTGCAGGTTGAAATTCCACCTGGGGAGGCACAAGGACCTGAAGAAAGCACTGATTAATACCACCGTCCTTACGACACTCTGTCTGATATGAGCTTTACTGACAAATACAAAAACTGTCAGCCAAACATTTCTGGAATTTCCCCACTGTGGGATCAATAAAGTTCTACCTACCAAAAAAAGAAACATGCAAAATCCTGCAGAACACAGACACACCCTCACACAACATGGCCGCAGTCATGTGGTCATGCACATGTACTAGATTAGGCCTTTTCAAAGTCATGACTGAATAGGGCTGATTTGTGTTCCATGTACAATCATCCTGAGTTGTTCTGGTAAAAGGAAAAACTGCAAACTGTTTTGAGCCCCAGTCACTGACCCACAAGGTCTGTCCTTCAGGGTCAGCAATAAACAATCTGTCCATCAATTCATATTTGCGTCAATGCAAAAAGAAAAAAACTAAACCCAAAGTCTTAAGTGATGATTTCATATTCCAGTGTGACAAAAAAAAAAAAGCCTTGGACTGTAAAGTAATAATAATGCTACAGAAGTGACACTTTTATTGCAGGTCACTCTGTCACTAGTGATAAGGGTGTTGCTACTTGTCATTTTAACTAAGGGTACTGACCGGTTACTTGTTCATTTCACTCTCATTATGGGTCTAAATGCCTGATGGTTAGGGGAAAAACCCATGAACTTCCCCACTGCACATGACTGGGCAGGAAATAGTGCATGGTGCAGGGAAAGGAGAGGTATATGTTAAGAGAGGAGAAGGAAGACTAGACTGGTATCCAAGAGAAAAAGGGAGGAGAGTTTGGACATCTGACATGATGCAGTGAGGCCTGCAAAATAATGGGAGACAGTGAAAGATAAACAGAACATGAGACAGAAAGAAAGCAGTGACAGTAACAGACACACAGAGCCAGATCACAGCATAATATGAGCATGACTATAAACAAAGGGGACACATACACACCAAGACTGTCTGCTGCTGCAGGACAGTGGCTGATTCAAGGCAAGAAAACAAACGGATGGACGGAACTACACTTATAGAAAAAGGCATGCAAAGGCCATGCAAAATGCACACACACACTGCCATGACAGGATGCCATGAACTGCTGACAACAGCCTCTACACAGAATACAGTCGGTGTTGTGTGCATCTGAATATAACTAAGACTATGTCAACATTTCCTCAAGCTCAAGCACAACCTGCACAGATGGAAACACATAAACTGCTTCAATTTGACTTTAACCTGCTGTGCTCATTACTGACTTACAAATATGTTTACCTATTAGCTAAGCAACTACTCAAACCTTTTTCTCCATTTCCATTTTGATGTAGCACGTATATTAGTATTTCAGAGAAATCCATTTCGATTGCTTTTATAGCCAACAGCTAAATAACGCCACAATATTCAATAAAGTTCCATTATGAGTTCTTGGGTGAGGCTGACTAAACCGCTGAAATCCCTCCATCCCCTGCAGGCATTACTGTTGTACTCAACATGAATCTCCTGCCTAACCAGAACACAGGACAGTGCAGTGGTAACACTAGACTGCTGCCACAACAGTGCTCCATTTCTCTGGGGCCACAGTTTATCAGCTGTATACAACACAACTCCTAATCAGGGCCCATCTCTACAGCATAGAGTTTGAACATATCCACTGCATCTGCATGTGAGGATTGAGAGGTTTCTTGCCTGGTGTTACTCTATTTAACCCAACAGTGTACTTTTAGGAACTACCTTAAACTCAGCAACCACATTTGAGCAGCAAAGCTAACAGGAAAACAGAATTGAGTATATGCATATATAAATAAAACATTGCTCAGTTCCCTTAGGGTAGTAGAAACCACAGATCCAGGGGAAAAGACTAAAGCTAATGTGAGAAGGGGAAAGGGAGACACAAGGAGAAATGAAAGCTGGCATGAAGCAGTACAACGGGGAAAATATAGCCATACTGAAAAGGGTCCTGAGCTAAAGGAGGTGGATGATGGGAGGTTAACCGGAGGGAACATCTGCTGAATCACCAGCTCCATCAGTAACTCAACATTTCCACTACTTCTCTCCCAGCCACTGATATTATTCATTATTTAAAACAGCAATGTCCATTGAGCTATATTTCACCCAATGTCTTCAGAGTGACCTCAGGGGACAGGATATCAAGCAAATGTGACAGTGGACCTAGACATCTGACTGATAGGAAACCAATTGCAGGATGTGGTTAAAAGCAGAGCTTCAGTTGCCTTACAGTTATCATCAGATAGACAACCATAATCAGACATTGTAAATCATACTTGGTTGTTTGATGTGATGTGCATTTCACCGCACTTTTCCTTCAAAATCAACATCTGTTTCAGTTTTACTGCAGAAGAAAAAAATGCACTGCAGCCTGAACTACAACGACCAAATAATAACAACTAAAATGATAAATCTTAACCTGAAAAACAAAGTTTACACTGGAATAAACAGCACAGGCTGTCCTCACCTGTCATCCTCCCCTTCAGCATGCTGAGTCCTGAGGCCTGCAGCAGCAGCAGCCATGAAAGCGCTGGCCTCAGCTGACATCCCTATGCGGGCAAGTGTTCCAGCAGCAATGCTGGCTTCTGCAGCCCCCTCTCCCCCAACTGCCACCCCCAGTCTGGGCAAACCAAGAAGGCCTTGGTGCTGGAGCAGAAGCTTCTGGGCATCCTCCAGCTGGGAGGGTTTTATGGAGCTTGCTCCTCCAGGTACCTGGGTGAGGGTTGCACCAGGGGTGAGAATGGGCTTTAGGTCAGCTTTCAGTGCAGTCAGTGGCATGTAGGGGGTTCCATGGGTGCACGCTGCTGGGACTGTGGCAGTAGAGGGGGGCTGGACTTGTGGCTGTGGGTGAAGCTGTGTTAGAGCTGGAAGGGTCTGTGGCTGTCCTGCTGCAGGTGGGGCTACCTGACCTGGGTGGGGCAGTTGCTGAGTAATGCTGACCAGTGGCTGTGCCATGACCCCTGGCACTGGTGTTAAAGTGACTCCTGTTGTAACATGTGGCGGTGGAGGCTGGACCTGGGTCTGGAAAGGAGCAGTGGGCTGGATGAAGTCTGGCTGTCGGACACTTCCGGAAGGCAGGACCCCTACATGGAGCTGAGGTGCAGGATATGCTACCTGGGGCTGAGCCTGACTGGGATCCACAACATAGGGTAATTGCTGGGCTACTACAGGGAGAGGCTTACTTACACCAACCTGTGGTGTCAGCTGTGGTGTTGCTGTGAGGAGTGTCACAGGCACCACTGGTTTCTGCATGTGAGCCCCACCAACAACCTCCTGGGGTGAAACATAGGACAGAGGAGTGGTTTGGGCCGGTCCCTGTGGTGGGCTCTGGATGGCTTGTGGACTAGTGAAGTCTTGGCTTGGAGGTTGATAGGGCTGCAGTGTGTGAGGTGGCTGTGCAGCAGGTATGCCTGGACTAATCCCAGTGTTACCTGCCTCTGTCTCTGCAGCT